CCATTTAAGAATTTGTAAACAGTATTTATGTTCGCCGATTAGAAGCTTTTGTTATGAATGTATGAATACATTGTATATTCTGTTTAACAGAAACTGTATGTACTTCTGTATAATACGAAGAATTCGAATGATAATGATATACTCTACTTCTATATACACACATTCCCGATCTGGAATCTTCTAATGTAAGTGTGAGTATTACATTCTCTTCCTCTCTCTTACATGCTTCACGATTCTTACTCATTGTTTAAGAGAATGCTAGAATAAGTATATCTCAGTTGTTACAAAAAATATAACCTATAGATTTAATCATGTTAATGTTAAATTGATATCAGTACATAGAAGAATAAAGTTATCTGAACAAATTTTCAAGTACCAAAGTAATCAGTTTGATTCACGTAGTAGCGTGACATGTGTTTTGTGGCCGAAGCGAGACTCAAGCGGATTGAGCAGAGAATAAAGTGACAAAACAGAATACCAGAAGTTTATAAAATTTGTATAGCTGTGCGCGTAACTGCGTATAAATTCTAACAATATTGAAGTAAATTATTCTTAACGTTCTATAGAAATAAGAGTGAAAATTATTTATTAGATCTCGAGGAACGATATTAACTAAAATTTCGGGGGGGAAAATAGAGGTTATCCGTTTTCTCCAAGTTTTCATCAGCAGTGGTGAAAATTATTGAAATGGCCGGTGCGATGTTGTTCGAACGTGCACAAGCAGTGTCGATGACGAATCGTAGTGAAGGTATTTCACTTCTGAATGAAATTGTCTCCGATCCGAGGATCGGTACTGCGGAAGATGATGAGGATAACATTCGTGTGAAAGAGCAAGGCATTTTGCATCTTGGCGAACTTTACAAAAAAGAAGGGAAGGCGAAAGAATTAGCTGACTTGATTAAAGCTACCAGACCATTTCTTAGCTTGATTAGCAAAGCAAAAGCTGCTAAACTCGTGAGATCTTTGGTAGACTTTTTCTTGGATTTGGAAGCTGGTATTGGCATTGAGGTATCAATATTGAACTTTTAATATCCAAATACAATTTTGTACATATATTTTAGACTGACCAAACTTTTTCATTTTGCAGGTCCAATTATGCAAAGAATGTATAGAGTGGGCAAAAGAAGAACACAGAACATTTTTAAGGCAATCATTAGAAGCACGTTTAATAGCATTGTATTTTGATACTGGCATGTATAGCGAAGCATTACAGTTAGGATCGGCTTTACTTAAAGAACTCAAAAAACTAGATGATAAGCAACTTCTAGTTGAAGTTCAATTACTGGAAAGCAAAACGTACCATGCATTGAGCAATTTAGCAAAAGCAAGAGCAGCTCTTACCAGTGCTAGAACGACTGCTAACGCGATTTATTGTCCACCTAAAATGCAGGCTGCTCTAGATTTACAATCGGGAATTTTACATGCGGCGGATGAACGAGATTTCAAAACTGCGTATTCATATTTTTATGAAGCATTTGAAGGGTAAGCTGCTTTTTTTCAGCGATAAAATTAGTTTCTTGTAATTTGTTTTACGATTTATAATCTACTAGATATGACAGCGTGGAAAGTCCAAAGGCTTTAACAGCTTTGAAATATATGCTGCTCTCAAAAATTATGTTGCGTACACCTGAAGATGTTCAATCAATTATGTCTGGAAAGTTAGCCGTTAAATATGCAGGGAGGGATTTGGATGCCATGAGAGCAGTTGCTGAGGCGAGCCACCGACGTTCGCTAGCTGATTTTCAGACTGCCGTGAAGAAATATCGCGAAGAACTGGAAGATGATGTAATTGTTCGTGCCCATCTCGGCTCCCTTTACGATGCTATGCTTGAGCAAAACTTGTGCCGCTTGGTCGAACCATATTCACGTGTACAGGTATGATCAGAATTCATATACAGTCGATTTATGCACAATTTATTTATTTAATTTCCCAACGCTTAATTTAGGTCAGTCACATTGCAACCTGCATATCATTACCTCTTGCGCAAGTGGAGAAGAAGCTGTCACAAATGATATTAGACAAAAAGCTAAGAGGTGTTCTCGATCAAGGCGAGGGCGTTTTAATCGTTTTCGAAGATACTCCGCGCGACAAGACCTACGAGATCGCATTAGACACTATACATAGTATGGGGAAAGTTGTCGACACTCTTTACCAAAAAGCAAAGAAACTCACTTAGCCTTATTTAATATATATTTCTAACAACAACCTTTGTTATAATTATTATCGTTAACTATCAACTTTCGTGTCATTGGGAATCAAACTAAATCTCGTTTTTCGATGTTCATTAGATTCATTATGCAACGTGAAACATGTTCTTTCCTACCTTTGGCATTTCTATTATTCTACTTAATTCAGTTCAATGTATAGAAAATTTGTTTTGTCAATCTAATGAAAGTAATTGATCATTAATGTATAGAATATAAAATACAATAATAACACATTTTATCGATTTACTTATCTACAGGTTTTAACAAAATATATTCAACATTCGCGAAATTGTATGCCGTACATCTCCTAAAAGACTACATTTGTTTTCAAATATAGTCAGAATATTGAAGTAAATATCATTTTTATCCCATCCTTTCTTAAAACTTAACGTTGAAAACGATTATATCCAAGTATTGACTTTTTCTCTAATTCGGTTGATTAAAATAAAAGTACATGTATCGAAATTTTGAACAAGTGTTTAGTGCATATTAACTTCATTGAACACGTGACTACTTTCACATTACTTCCTGTTCTGATTACTCTATTTTTGAAAGCGTTCTGAGTTTCCACGTGGAATGATATTCAGTACTGTTAGCAGAGAGGACATTCTGCTTTTGGCGAGCGCTTCCAAATATCCTATATTCATAGTTGTACGTTGTATCAATTATTTATGTAACGTCTAATTCAATCTTGATAGTTAAAATAATTCTGCAATAAATAAAGATATTGCAATTTTATGAATACTGCATTATTGCAATTGTGTTAACGTTACAGATTCTTATTTGATAGCGTAGTAAGTAAAGAGTGTATGCAGAACGACTTCCTTCCTGTTTGAAGTTGAATACAGTTGCATATACGTTACAACAAAGAGACAGTGTGGTTATATTTTATAAAGTTTTTTTGTATAGAGTGTATAATGGCGGATGTTACAGCACAGAAGGTAAAATATTTTCTATTATAATTAAAATGTTTAGAAATATATACAATATCATAAAATTATGTAGTCTACGTTAATCGTTCAATATGTACCGAGGAAGAATGTTAGGTTAACGTAGCGTTTTATCCACCGGCATCATTATGCTCAAAAGAATGAATTTCATTTTCGTATCAATTTATTTTTGATATACTTTTCGCAATTTTATCAATATTTGAATCATTACATTTTTAATTCGTTTATAATTCAAATGATTGGCCTTGATTAATCATCTCAACGCTTACGCAAAACTATACCTGTACATGGTATCGAATGTATGCATTTTCTTTCGAATTTAATGTAATTTTTATATTGATTCATTGGTATTGTAATTGTGTGAGCAGTTTGTTATTGAATCTGATTCTTTCATTTCTCGAATAAATATATATCTATATCTCATTAACAAATAAATTTGATATAACTTATATGTATCTGAGACATGTAAGTATATGTTCATATGCGTAACTGAAACGCTAGCTTTCAATTGAATATGACCATTGCATTTACTGTATTTACCTTTCAAGTATATCTTACAGGTTCAAGAATACAAGGATTCTCTAAAAACGAAGGTGATTAATTAGATGCCATTATTTTATGTTTCATATTATTGTCCGAAATCATCATTTAACTTTATCCAATGCCTGTGAAAACTTCTTCTAGGCTGAACAATTGTTACTAAAAGGATTTCCGGAGAAAATTGTCAAGCTGAATGAATTATTAGAGACTCCTGGTTTCTGCAATAGAAAATTGTCAGATGTACATCAAGACTTGAATGTGCCCATTCCAGACCCAATTGTTCTCAATCATTCCGTAAATGAATCTGCTACGAAAAAACGAAAGGCAGAAAATAGCATAGATGAAACCACTGGAACCAAAGTGATGGTATTGCCAAATGGACCTGTTCCCTGCAACAAACCTTTGTGTGATCTTATTCACATAGTTAAACCTTATATTCGACAACTATTAGAAGATTCTAATTTGGTACGTCTTAATAAACATTGGATACAATGTTCATACTGGTTTAGGTACTTCTTAATGCTTGTGTCATGTTTCGCATTTCCAGTTGAAAATGTGGATTTCATACTTGATTCCAAAAATCGAAGATGGTAACAACTTTGGTGTATCAATTCAGGAAGATACACTCGCTGAAATACAATCAGTTGAAAGCGAGGCAGCTGCATTTTTCGATCAAATATCTAGGTAACGCGAATATCGTTTTCACTCGACGAAATTTATTTTAGTTTTAATCTGCAAATACTTATTCAAACATTTTTTGTATCAGGTACTTCATCTCTAGAGGGAAGATCGTTAGTAAAGTTGCGAAATATCCACACATCAGCGATTATAGAAGAGCAGTGCAAGAATTGGATGAAAAGGAATATGTCAGCTTATGGCTGGTTATGTGCGAGATCCGTAATCGCTATTGTTCTTTGCATGATTTGGTAATCAAGAATTTGGAGAAGATAAAGAAACCGCGCTCTTCCAATGCGCAATCTTTGTATTGAAAGCCACATATGTTATTTCTATCTGACACTGTACAGTATCACTGGAGAGAGGAGAAACAAACGAGCAGAAAGAAAATAAGAAAAAAAATATTTGCGATGAAGAAAGCATCTTTCATTTTGTAGTAGCCAACTCGAATGAACTATTTCTTTTTTTACTTGAATGTCTTAACACTGATCCCTTCACTCAAACGTATTCAAAGCAACATAAGACAGCACTGTGAATTACGACGATAGTTGCGTTACACATTAAGAGAGAATAATATATGTATGTATATACACATATGTATAAAACAAAGTACATTCAACAAATTTAATTACTGATTGTTCTTGCTACTAATCAAAAATTGGAATTAATTTTAATCTGTTGAACATTTACATATTTTTTAGAAATACAGTTTTCTCTTCCCATGTTTTCCCTGCATCCACCAACATTATCATCCTTTTCTTTTTTCATAAAATTAACTTTAATTACATTGTGTGACGTACTTATTAAAAATTAAAAAAAGACGCGAATGTATTGAAATGTTTATCTTTTCATCTATATGAATTTAGAATAGAGTTAAGCGTGTAATTTGTAATTTACAGTTGTAAGATCGCTAGAACATAAATGATATAACATATGACAAATATCCTTTATACTGTACATGCAATTAATTCCCAAACTCCTACTTGCTTCCCTTTCAGAAACCTGTCTTGCTCGCTTTATTTGTTGTACATTATTAGACTAACGGTTATTGTAATCCTATTAATTACAAAATTGAAAAACTACACATCATTTAGGTAGATTGTACGCAGACTACATAAAAATTTCTATATTCGTACATTTTATAAAAAATAATGATACAGTGTGTAATACATCTGGATTTCTCAATGAATTAAATTTATTTGATTCCTTTAATAATTCATAATGAATAATAGACAAAAATACTAAAATAGTAGTTTCTGTATGTAAATGCATTGTTCTGAATGGCCGTTTTTAAAGATGATGTACATATGTATCACGTTTCTTCGAATAGACCAGGATTAAGATAACAATTTCTATTAAAACCTATCAATGATATCTCCATTGTCTGACAGTTTCCGTTGTTTGTTCTTTGTACTTTTAATCTTTCATCAACCTGTAATTAAACAATAAAAAATGCTGTAATATGTACGAATAACTACGTAGGACATATGATTCACTTTCTAACAATATACTTACCATAAGTAGTAAATTCAAAAGGTGCGTATCATAAGCATGATTCATAAAAACTTCACACAATATTTGTAGGAACCAACTACCAACTTCATTATCTCGGAAAGCAACGTTATTTAGTAGAGTAGCATATGCAAGAAGCGTATCTCCCTGATTTCTTATTGTCATCTCATTTATTACAAGGCTAGTTATTTCACCATTATGTGACGAAGACGGAGCTGCATCTGTTACCTGTCTACTGTGTTTTACTGATGTTTGTTCTGCGTTCCCTCTACAAAATCAATTACGATTACAATATATATGTATATGTGTGGATCGTAGGACTTACCTGCATAATTGAAAAATAAACGTTTTTGGTTTTCCTGCAAGGTTGGGACAAGACTCTGCAGTAAAATATTTCAAGATGTCTTTGCACAATACAGTATCCTTCTTGTTTGGATCACTATTATTCATAGGCACACATTCTATCTCGCTAGCTTCATATTCAGCATTCTTATTACCATGACTGCTGATAATGACAAAACAAGAATCAACCTTGCGTAGTTCGCTCTTTTCAGAAAAGGTTTTTATTGTCGATGTTAACATCTTTAAATAGATGAGTATTTTTTAAAACAGTTATTTACTTAGAAACATCGAAATATATTAAAATACTTACCGCACTTGTTAAATTGCGTTCAATAAATACTTGAAAGCCCATTTGTTCAAATAGGTCTTTCACATTTGATTCATCGACGTCTGCTGCTTTTCTTATGTGATCATTGTACTTGATATTTGTTAATATTAAAACCAATCCACGTGGCTTACTGCGCATTGGATACTTTTGAACTTTATCATATTCTGATCCATCTAAAAATTCTGTAGCTTTCCGCACTTGTATCTTCAAAGGTGTTTCTGCAGTATGGATACCGAGGTAAAACTTATCCTGCCTTTTTAAAACACGTGACACATTAATTAATAGTATAAGATAGTTAGATATAATTATTTGGTACTTTAAAATAACAAGAAATACATGTCAATAGCTACTGTTGTTTCTATGTCACTGTTCATAACTAGTTCTCTTTTCCCTTCCAAACAGTCTGCTAAATCTTCGTGATCACTTTGCCTTAAACTAGCGAGGAGACGAGTAAATGCTTTCGGACCTCTTGTCTTTATTGTTAGAACTATGTCTCGTATGACAGCTTCGTTCTTTATATCATTCTATAAATAGATAAGATTGCAGATAGAAGTGAAGAATGCAATGAAGTAAATGAAAAAGCTTATAACAATGTTGCACAGAAATATATTTACCTCCCAATGCTGGATATTCACGTCTTCTATATTATAAACCTTGTTTTGGAGAAGTTTTGGCCATAATTTCTCCATATTTATGTTAGGTATAATGTAATTGCAACACGAATCTATCAACTCTCGATGTTCCTGATCCATGATAACTTATTGAAAAATCTACGTTATCCTTATCCGTACTGCTCATTTCTCTTGTATCTGAATGACTCAATGACGCAATGAGTAATTCCAGAATTCCAGGGATCCATCTCAGAATCTGAGTCGAATATTTCGATAACTATCGTTCGTATAGGTTAAACTTGATTGCATTCTGAAAGGCTTTCATTATATATGTGTAATCACTTTTTCACATGACACATTAAATCTATTATAAATTTAATTCTGTTAATTATACATACGTAACTTTACAAAAGAATAGTAAAGAAACAAGAGGTGGGATGAATAATCTACTGTTCGATTGTCGAGAATCGATAGTTCTCGATTAGTCGAATAAAAATGATTTTATTTCATAAAGTAGTTTATGTTTATTGTTGCAGCAAGTACTAAAGAGTAAATACGACAAAAATTCGAATTTACATGTATATAAGAAACGCGATAACCCGTCAGGTAAGCTGACATCTTTAGACTCAAACTTGCCTCCGGCTCCGGAGCGTTATCGCGTACCTCGATTTCTGAAGGTATGTATTTAATAATTCTTATTATTTATATTATATTCCGTGAAGTATGAACGTATTGATGTTCAACTACTTATAATGATTAGAACCAATTCTTCCATATCTATGTTTGAATGAAACTAATACGTACATATACAGTACTTTAGAAAATCATTAACGTAATATGAGATTAGTAGCAATAAATGTTTTATTTATGGGATCCTTTTCCGTTATCCTGGCGCTATTTTAAGTTTATTAAAATTCGATTAAATCCTTCCATTTACCCAATATACTACCACATCTACACTTTACTTGCTTGGGATTTATGGTGACTCGTCCAGAAGCTCAACTCTTTTTTTCATTCTTTTCCTAGTGTAAGTTAAATATGATAGATTAAATTTTGGTCAATAAATACATGTTGTTTAAGAAATGGAATAGTGGTCCCTCGGCATCTTCGTTTTTGCGTTGATTGTCGCAGATCTTATTATCCCTTCTTGTTTCTCAAAGAGGAGCCGAGTTACAACCTAAATGTGTGTACGCTCTCATACACCCTCCATCGTGTTCATTTCCGCGCGTGTGTATATACATACATATGTACCTATATGTATGGAGGTTACTCCGAAGGGTGAAGTCCCCCTTGTAGCCTTGGGCCAATCTTGTTAGCGCTAATGATGGAATCCGCCGCGAGATGCGTGAACGAGACAAGTGAGACATTCAATTTTATGCTACTTACGCATTTTTTTACTGTATTTCTTCATAAAACTTCTTGAATATGTCATTTCCCAAACGCAATAAAATATATTAATTGCGCTTAAGAAATTAAAGAATGGTCTTTGAATATCTGCAAAGACCATGCTTTCGAAATGTTAGTGGTGATTGAAATTGAAAAGTTCATTTCACGTGTATAGCGACAGGAACAGAATGGATAAGAAATAGTGAAAAGGACATGAAAGATAAATAGAAACAGGAGTGAGAGTTTCCGAGGAACCTTATATCCTCCGTTAGTCTCGGAAAAGCCATTAGACCGGAAAACGAGGTAGAATCACAGAACGCAATGGCGTCTAGAAACAAACGACGGCCGATAGGAGCGAACAAGCAGTGAATCACCTAAGCACTTGTTTACCAAGAGAATCAAGAATTCAGGGATGCCGTTCCAAGTCTCGGAATCCTGCCCCATCGGTTTCCCAACCCCACCACGACTACCCACCACCTACTACTACTAAAGTGCTGGCGGCTCTCTGCGTCTCCTCGAACGAGGAATGCCGTCTCCGTCGTCGTTGTTGTCGTCGCCGTCGCCGTCGTCGTCGACCTAACGGACGCACACATGTCGCGTGGTTGTGCAAAGGAAGAGGACGGAATGGAGAATCGAAGGTTGGGAGTTGAGAGTGAAAAGCGTGCGAGGGGGTGACGCTGAGGTCGGAAACCGGCAGACTCGGAGAAGGAGAGTCGGGGAACGGCACTAGAATCGCTAAATGTAATTCGGTTAAAAGGGTTTTAGCAATACAATGCATATAAACATGAGTGCCCCGCTCCTGCGCTCGTCTGCACGCTCCGCTCTTGCGCCACCCCCTAGTTAGTACCGCGAAACACCCCGCGACCGTCGTAATCCTTAACTTGGACGAGGCACGTTAAGTGCGATCGAGTCTGATAATACGAGAACGTGCATAAATTACGAGTCTCGCCGAAATGAGGAAACATGTTTGCTTCCCGAAACTGAACCACGCATGTGAACTTCCGTCGCTGGAATAAAGAATAGAAAAGAATGGCCGAGAGGAAGAAGAAAAGATGAGAACGGACAAGGAAAGAAGAAAAAAAGAAGCCTGTTGTTTTACTACTTTCTTAACGAGCCCCAAAGCGCTGCTACTTCTGTTGAAGAGTCTGGTTAGCAAATTTGCGAACGCCTTGGCACGAAGCCATCTCCTCTTACGTATTCACAATCAGCGAATCCTTGCGAGGCTTTACGCAAGAACAAAAAAGTAGAAATCGTATTGCATTGTGCTTTTATTGAAATTTTTCTTCAAATTTTACTCTAATTTCCAAATATTCCTTTCGTTTCGTTACTTTGTACCGTATCGTCTAACGTACTTGGAAAGTTTTATCATTTTACGTTTGACTCAATTTTTCGTTTATTTGTTATTATTCGAATGAATGACGAGGAACGGAATTTGTGTTTAACGTAGAAAATATGTTTTCTTAAGTAAAAGTAGAAGGGACCATGAACGCGTATATGCACACGGGGGTATCGAGTACAATTTTTCTCCTCCCGTTCCATTCCTTTCCTTCGTTGACGTCTGGTTTTCCAAACGGGTGATTCTCCGCTGGCTGTAACCGGCAAGGGCAGTCGTCCGCGAAACATCGCGGAATTTGTAACGGGAAATTAGCATATCATAAATACTGATGATCCTTCGCGTGTGTGCGGAGCGCTGGTGGGCAACACGTGATCGCGTCTTTGAATACCATGAAATTTTTTACAGCAGTAAAGAGCTCGTTTAGTGGCAACGTAAACTTATAATATGTATTCTAGGATTTTACAGCCGTCAGTTTGACGTTGATAGAGGTATATTTAAGGCGAACATCCAATTGATCTTCATTCAATTTTACTTATGTTCTGAATAAGAATTTGAAAATAAATGAAGAAGGATAATCAGACAGAGTTTAGTTCGATACTCGTAATTTATTTTAGGAACTTGTTGCGACATAATATGACGTTTTCCTCGCATCGCACTTTCTACCCTAGACGTATACGAATATTATTTACAATAATATATAATTTCATAATCATAAATAGGTACGTGTTCTCAATTCTAGAGCAACGTTAGAGTAGAGTTACAGTCAAAGAGGATCGAATTTTGAAGGTGCGTATAGCTTTCTCGCTCTAATCAATGATTTTATACAATTGTCGATGCGATTCGCGTCACGAGAACACGATTCTTCTCAATCTCGTATCTTACCTTCTCTCGTATGTGCCGTCGGAATAAAAGCTTTTACGCTCTTACGCGCCTTCAATATATAGAAACATTTGAAAACAATTCAAGGGAACACCGAAGAGCGCTCTTAATTTAATTTTGTAGTCGCATCGTTGTCAATGATAGTGATCGCGATCATACGATAATTAATCGCTAATTGTTGTTTTGTTCCCTTTATTTACACAAGTTTGCAATGATACACAGCAATGTACGTAGCGGATACAGATACAGGGTGATGCGTTATCGTTATAATATCTTTCCAATTATAGACGTGAATAAGTGAGCGTATTGTTACCAATTTATAAATTTACCAAGACACTTTCAGACAATTAACGAAGGAACAATTAAAAGATCACCCCGTACTGCGAGCTTGTATGTAGTACGCAATTTTTTTCCAATGTACTTTCAAAATTTATTTGACCATTTTGCGTACATTCTCTATTAGCTAATGTTTGTGTAATATTGCGAATCCTCTTCGAGAACGATCGAATGCATCACGCCAAATGAAAATCGTGTCTGGTTACTCTACGGAGTAACGAGCACGCGTGATTATAACTTATTCGTTATCGTCAGTTCTTATTTGGCACAACACACTACATCTGCTGTTTCTTCCTTTTGGTCAAAAAGTTTTTACACCACATACGGTCGATAAAGCGGTTCCTGAAGTTCAGTCGTGTTCCTCTGTGTTTCCTGTAGCGTTCCTTTGGTATCCTCCTGTGGGCTTGGCGAATTTGGATTCGGCTCGCCTCCAGTTTCCCTCTCGCTACTTCTTACATTTCCTCCATCCTCGACTTTGTTATTCGCCCGCGCCTCTTGTTGCGCCTTTTTACTCCTCTTCCATTTCATCCGCCGGTTTTGAAACCAGATTTTCACCTGAATTTAAACGTGCCGCTTATGGCGTAAAAATGTAAGATGACACCGCGAACAAATAAAACAATTCGAAGGAAAGGAGACAGGAAACTGTTGGAGAGACACGAGCATCTTACGAGGAGTTTAATTTATACGTATACTTGAAGACGTTGTAACTTTCCAAATCACTACGGATTGTATATGTGGAGTCGATATTTCTTTTCTCAATCCCTCAAGAAGGTGATGTAAATCCGTTAGACAACATATCATGCGTTTGACTCGACCCGTCTCATTCTCAGCCCCCAGTTCACGTGTTCACCCCTCGAAGGAGCAAACGTGCTCTCCGTCGTGATAAATAGGTACGCGAAATATTACAGAGCACCGGGGCGACTCGAGTTAAGGGAGAAAAAAAGCAAGCACTGAATCGTTGCGATTAATAATTTTGCTTTGCTGTCCACGTACATTTATTTGGATATTTCGTATCGCCGATAGTACAGAGGGAAAGAAGAAGAACGCGATGCGATGAGGAATGCAGCACGTGGGATGCTTCGGACGTTTGAACGTTAAATGCCTTAAGCAGAACCAGTTAAATATCGAAACAAATCAGGGACTCAGTCCGCCATAATTCAGACTTCCGTTGCTGTTTGCCGAGCGATCCGTCAGAATATGTAAGCTTCAAAGTTATGTTTAAGTTGTTGAACTGTACAAGAGATTCGCTTGTTCACATTCGTCCTGGGAAGGGAGGAGGACCCTGGATTATTTCACCGATTTTCCCGGGAGCTTTATTTTTCTTCTCTCCGCTCAAATTTCCGACCGTGCAACCTCAAAGCGTCGCGTTATTTCTTACAACGAAAAGGGAATGGAGGGAAAAAAGGTAGTAAATGAGCAAAAAAGAAACGGTCCAATTAAGGAGATCATTACTCGATTCATGTACATCGTCGAAATAGTATTCAACCACGATTTACAAATTCTGAATTAAAATGTGACACGTCGCTTCCGTAATTTTATTTCAGAGTTGAAATATGTATGTATTTAAACTAAATGAAGGAATAAATATCGCAAACGTAAACTAGTTTTGACAGTTTTTATTACCTGTGTCTCTGTGAGCATTAACGAAGTGGCTACTTCGAATCTCTTCGGTCTGCTGAGGTACTTGTTCTGTCTAAATTGTTTTTCCAATTCCAAGAGCTGTTGCGACGTGAAAGCGGTTCTCGGCCTTCTAGTTTTCCCAAGAAGAGCGTGCTGAGCTGCGCAACCTATGAGTAAATAAGTACGTATGCACATTTAATACAGTAACCGTAAATATTTTTCGCAAACATATGTTCCATTTTTTATTACAATCATATGTGTATGAAAGAGATGGTGGGAAATCGTCGCCTACTATCGATAATCTCGTTTCGAATTAATACTAATCGCAAGGAGAAACCAATAAAAATCATCGAATGCTAATGCAATTACCGCGAATATAAATCTCCCCTGGGTCGCAATACTATGATTTGGGGTCGGAAATAGGAAGGGATAAAATGGTAGGGTGACCGCCCTAACGATTAGCCCTACGAACGGGTCCTGGCCAGACCCGATTTTCTCTCCTTTGTGACTTTCCACGCGCAATAAATCAAAAATAACATAGCTATAAATATATTTGGACCCGATACGTGTACGTAAATGCGTCGCAAAGCGAAAGTGACCCGTAGAGCCGACAGCGTTGAGTTGTACTACTTAACTCGTGACACATGATGCGTGTCTACGTTCGTTTCACAATTTATTCCATTCATTTTCTCAACTGCATGCTGCAGCGCGTTGAAACGCACTTACCAAGGTTCGATATTCCCAGTTTTCAGAAATTGTAGAACGTGGAAAGCTAATGTTAAAATGTGGCGTTCGGTGTGGTTGATCGCACGTTTTCCTCGGCTCATGGTGTAGGTACCCCTCCCAATTTAACCATATAGCAAGTGCGTGACCGGCTGTCAATGTTTGTACACATGGCAGTGTTTAGTCGCGCGCGTACACTCAGATTAATCTGGAACGCGCGATACCCTTATGTCACTCTTAATCAGCCGCTTAGTCAAACATTCAACACCGAGGGCCTGTTTAATTTTTCCACCTTAGGTTGTTGACAGACTGCGCGCAGGTTGCACGGGGATGCAGCGTGAGTCTTTTCCCCCGAACAAACAATACCCCGATCCTCCTCCGCTCTTTTTTATGCTCGCAGAAAATTAGCGCGTACAACTTTATACCTAATTAAATTCATACACAACATCTGCGTGTATCGTTTCTAAGTGCGAACCGTCGACAACTTTGCTTTCGATATTTATGTCAGATAAACGTACGGAGGCATTAATCGTCCCTTTAAGGGTTGGTTTGCCACCCGCTGTGCCCATATGGTTCGTCCTCGATGATTTTACCCCGCGCCGTTTCGTGACAATTATTATCTGCTGAACGATTGCGTCTGCTTTCAATTGAAACCCTCAACCGCTTTCATCAAATTTTATGCATCATCGCGCGATTATACAGAACGAGTAATTACCGAATTTGACTAAAACCGTAGTTAATTCTAGCTTCTTCGTAATGCGTCGATATCTGTCAGCGATTTATCGAACCCATTTATCGAATTATTATAAACTTAAGCGGGGAGAGGGGGTTGGGGTGATATTGAAAAATCGAAAAGAGAGAGTCCGAACTACGGACACATAGAATACGCAACGTTGGCAAGCCACCGAAATTGTACGAGTACGAAGGATGCCAGGGAGAAATGGTGCGAGTTATGACAGATGTCGGTAAACAAGAAGGGCGGCACCATCGAGTGGACAATCACCATTTCCGTGCTCCTCTGTACGGGATGAAGCAGCGGGGTGCCGTTAAGGTTAACGTCGTTCTCACCCCCGTACACTTTTATCATGATAATTTAATTTATTTGGGGTCCTATTAGCCGCTTCACGCCAGGCTGCTCTTAAATCATGCTGATCACCATACCGGTAAACACCAGCCATTATCTGTACTTAACGCAATTCCATCCCCTATTCTCCAGTTCCAGTGCCCACCTCGTCTATCGGCTCTCCACTTCATCTAATTTGTTACTGTTTATTACGAATCAAACGAGTCGTTTACATCGTAGAATCCTCTCATCTTTTATAGATTATATCGATGTTAATAAGTACGCGTTTAAAAGAGTTTGCGGTGAAGCAGTCGGTGAGGTAACTTAGGAAAAATATATTACTTTTCCATAAATATTCTAAACGAAGAGCAATCCCGCTATGAAATTGCGGGACAGTTATATGTATATTCGAATCAGCGCACGTATGTACGTATTAATACTCCGTAATATGATAGAAAATCTGCTTTGTAAATCGCCGCAGCGAATTCGAGCCGGTGTATACACACATTCGCTGTTACTTTTGTTCTCGTTCCACTGCAATCTTCAACTCTTTCTCATCCTCTCGATTCATTTCGTTTTGTAGTCCCCGGCATACATATATAATCTTACTAGCAACTCCATTCTTGTTCTCCTTCTATTTAGTCTCCGGTTCTCGTTCTCCTCGACCGGTTCCTCCGGCCGTGGGTGTGAACGTTGCGCGCGCGCGCTCTCACTCAGTATGTCTCTCTCTCTCTCTCTCTCTCTCTCTCTCTCTCTCTCTCGCTTTCGCAGTTGATGCGGGATCCCCGCAGGCTCCCTCTCCTTGTCTCGTACAGAGGCGGAGGCTCCGCCTGCAGCCCTCAGTGCTTGATTCGACCCGCCCCCGAATTCTCAACCCCTCGTATCAGAGGGTGAACGAAGACGCGGCGAGGGTAACCGGTCGGTGATATCCACCATCTCTCTACCACCCTTAGTACGCCGAGACGTCATCGACTCCTCTTTTCCTTGCGCCGCGCCGCCGCCGCCGCCGCCGCCGCCACGATTGGAGCGATTCGTGGGAGAGCCGGTGGCGCCGACAGGTGGAGAATACTGGGCGACTGCCGTGGATAGGAAAAAGTTGGCCAACTTTTGTCAGAGATTATTTTCCTTACCCCCGAAACGGTTGGATTTAATTTCGGACTCGCCTCGTGAACTTACCACGAATCACGTCATAAACATCCAGAACGTTACCATTTACTTTTATCATCGGACTACTAACTGAGAATCGTTTCGCGTTTTCTCCTCTCGCTCACTCGCAGCTGGACGATGCAGCAATTCTCTCTATAAAATCGACGATTTTCTACCCAGCTCCTTGCTCCCTCCTACGCGGATAATTGCGCAGTTTGAAACAATGATACAAGAGTTATACTTTACTACTGTCACTCTAGGAATAGAATTACTAATTATCTATCACGACACGTTGATGTAGAGTAAAGAGACTTTTGGATCTAGAAATAACATCGTTTTAAATAATGGGCGAAACGGTGAAATTTTCATGGCCATGCCCTGCGAACATTAACTGGGAATAATGCATTCCGAGGTAACGGGCATATTTATACGCGACGTGTATCTACAGGTAAAGCTGTGCCACCGCGTCACACCGTTTGCACGCGTCCATGTGGCTACCGACGCAACCAGACCAGATCATAGAGATATAGGATGGTTTGGGCGAACGTGGAACGTTACACATCGGGTAACCAAGATCTGTTTGCTTGCGGGCGGCCAAACTAGCTGGCAGCTAATTCAGAAACACCATTACCGCCTACATGCCTATAGACAGGTAGACTGACGCGACCGCTGCTGCTAACGCCACTAGACATTTTCAACGTGTTCCCGTGCATCTATCCAACGTTTCCGTCTATCTAGTTTCCAACTCCGCGCATTTCCGATTTCCACCACTGTACCGTTCGACCAGGTTTCCGTTTAAACGTATTTACATCTTCGCTCCGTGCACGTACAGTTATAACATTCGAATCAAGGAACTTATTAGGATTGTCTTAAACGATACGAGTAAATCGCGTGCGAATAATAAATGTAATTGAATAGTAACGTTGACTTGTAGAATTTTTACAAGAAGAATTTATTGATGTTCGAAGACAGAGAATGTCTATGTATCAAAATTAACAAAATATCCGACAAGGATAGACAAAACCGATTTGCGTTCTTGGATTGTTTGAAAGATGAGCGAAATTAGCTGTCGGAATGGTCTACGTAAGTCCGTGGAGTTACCATGGCAACCCTAGAACGTCTGCGTCGGCGTTATGCTATCTGGTATCGTGGAGAGAAGGGCGAAGGGGATGAATAGACGGATGAATGACGCACAATTAACTAATTAAATCATCCGCCAACCCTTCGCGTGCTTCATCTCTCGGGTATCATCCCCTTTTGTTGGCAGACCTCCTACCATTCTCTTCGACATCTTCCGCCATTGTTTTGCCTCCGCAGCTTGTAAAGCGAACTCTGAGGACCGAGACGGAAAAATCAGAGTGGGACGAAATAAAGCAGCCACCGAGAGGAGAGGAAATTTAGATTATTCTCGTAATATTCAATTGATATTATCTATAATCGAAGATGACGACCTAGAATATGATCGAATAATTAATCAGAACAGCATACGTATAAAGAATGTGACACGGTCTTGGAAACGATCCTTCTTCAAATACCGTCACCGATATCGCGGAAGTTTGAAAGTCGTTTCGGTCGATTTCGATTAATCCGAATGCAAACTGGTATCGGGCCGGGGATACGAGGAACAGTTTTTAGTGTACACGAGGTAGATGTATTTGGGATTCCGGGGGATACACCGTGGGCACGGATGGAAGATCGCGAGACACGAGCAGCCACGGTATATCGTGCCGGTTAAATTTCGATACGCTCGAAGCCCGAGACTCGAAAAAATAGATGAAACATGGTGTCGCCGCGTTGATATCGCGCGCGTCGTCGTCGGTATAACGCGCGACAAATATTCCACAAATAAAAGCTCACATCTCTTGCTTTTCACCCCGGCCTCTCCCTTCGTGTCAGCTCACGGTTCCGAGCCGGTGAGTCGCGTTATACTCACCGGTATTTACATAACGTCGAGAGAGCGTGTACGAGAATGCGAGATTACCGGCGACCGACCGACGGAGAGAGAGGAAGAGAGAGAGAGAGAAAGAGAGAGAGAGAGAAAGAGAGAGAGAGAGAAAGAGAGAGAGAGAGAAAGAGAGAGAGAGAGAAAGAGAGAGAGAGAGAAAGAGAGAGAGAGAGAAAGAGAGAGAGAGAGAAAGAGAGAGAGAGAGAAAGAGAGAGAGAGAGAAAGAGAGAGAGAGAGAGGGGGGGGGGGGTAAAAAGAGAAAGAGAGGAAAAAGAGGAGTAGGAGGCGGAAGGGGTGGAGAAAGGGCTGAACGGGACGATACTCCCATCCAGCGATTTTTTAACAAGTCGTGTTCGTGTTCCCTGCCGACGCGATAACGGCCGCTTCCAGGTGGGGCTGAATGCAATCGTTTTATTTTATTCCGCGAGACCGCTTTTTTGTACCCGTTGCTCGTTTTACGCTATCGGGTTTTCGCCTTTTTCGTCGACGTTGGATTGCTCGGCAACTACCAATCAGGATCATCTGACAGAAAGTACCCCCTCGCCCCGCACCGAACACCACTCTACTCGTCTCTCTTTATCGTCCTCGTTCCTTCGCTCTCTCGCTCTCTCCCTTTCTCTCATATACACCCACATTCCGTTTACTCCCGCTCCCGCTCCCCCATTTTTCTCTCTTTCCCTCTCTTTCCATTCTCGTTTATTCGGATTCGGTCCATCTCGGCATCCTGGCCTGCTGCGTTCACTGACCAATTTGTTCGATAAAAGCTTTCGACTGATTGGCTGGACAACGCGACCACGTCTCTTTTTTCTGAGCGTGAAATTTACCGTAGTAACCGGGATCATCTCCTTTTATCTGCTGCTGTTCCTCTATTCATCGATGAATTCTTTCAATCCTTTCGAATTCTTTGTTGTTACGCGGTCAGCTCTCCTTTGTCAGCCCTCCACCGTGTGACCAATCACCTGACATTTCCTCACTCAGTTCGCATACAAACGTACACGATTTTCGTGTTCCTTAACTTTTATTTTTAATTTTCTATAAACGATTTTGAATATCTAAGTGATAATTCTTTTTTTTTAAACGCGACACACGGTTCTCACATGTGTGTGTACTGCAAAATTTCCTCCCAATGTTATCATTTGACAACCGACCTAAAAACTTGAGTAGCCAGTCAATATAGCACGGTAAAGAGTTACATTAAGCATGTAAACATCCGCTATCTGCCTATCGTACGAGCAATCTGTCGATTTGTTTTACGATGTTGTTCTGCTTTAAACGACAGCGTAAAAAAACTCTCTGTTATATTTCAACCTATCAACGCCAGTTTTTAATTAATTATTTTATCAAAAGCACATGGAAGCATTGTTGATTGCTCCTGACGTGCTTCTACATACATATCTAATCTACATTCAGATGAATGAAGTCAATTATTATTTCAATGATAGTCGAAGACATAGATTTAATGAGAATGAAGAATTTTGCAATAGTCTCTGGATATCTGTGCAGAGACACTCAGATGCGTTCGGTCTGCGAGACATTGAATGAAAAGAGAGTGAGAGCAAAGAGTGATAGTAATGAAATTAACGTAGTTACCAACTCACCGGCCAAATCGGCGGGTAACCTGGGATATAACATTCCAGTCCTAGCTAACCACTCCAGTTGGAGTGGATGGATGTGATGCTGCTGAGGATGAGCCCCGGCACTCTGCGAATGTCCGACGGGCTGACCTTCCTTGTGTATCGAGTGGAACGCGCTCCCGCCCGCAGGATGATAGTACAATCCTCCAGGATGTATCAAAGGGCCACTCGGATGTAAGAGGAGAGCTTGATTTTGTCGAGCTACACCAGCACTACTGCCAAGCGCACCATAGTGACCACTCGGTAAATTCGGATTACCGGGAACGGTGTTGCTACTTGGTTCCTCCGATCCCGGTGAAATAGGAGGACTCGAGACGGGACTGTGGCTCGCGTTGCTTCCCGAGCTGGCGCTCCCGGTTCTCGTCGGGTCGATCTCGATCGAAGTGTCGTCTTCGATATTTTCTAATCTGTCGACGCGAAACCCTCCGTTGCCGATTCCAGCCGCCTTGTCGCGATGAATCGGTACGGTCGTCGTCGCTTCCATAGATTCTACGCGAACACCGGATAGAGGGACGTCCCGAACGGATCGGTCATGACGGATATCTTGTCTGTCGCATCCTTCGCGAACGTGTTCCAAATTCGACGGCGAATTCGACCCGTGCTGGGCGACGGACCTGTCGAATGGATTCAGAAGGCTCCCAAGAGACGAGCTTCTCTGCTCTTCGGTTCCTGCGGTCCCAAGCGGAAGCGCGATTTCGTTTCCAGCTCCGGTTTCGCATCCAGCACCGACGCCGATGACGACACCTCCGAGGGCGCCGGAGGATTCTCGATCGTGTCCACGGACCAACGAGTTCGTTAAGCAGGGACTGGCATCGATGACAGGATTTCGCGTCGTAAACAATAATCTCTGATTCCGTTCGTGTTCAAGGGTTTCCTGTTTTCCGGTCGCCCGGCCGAGGAGCGCGTCGATGCAAAAAGACGTTTTACCGAGAGAACTGTGAGAACGTCTGTCCGTCGAGTGAACCGCGTACTCCTGAGGCGAGATGCTCCCAGGCGAATTGTTCGGTTCCCTATAATGAGTCGCCACCGTTGCGGACACCATTTCCTCGGTGAAACACTTTACACTGGTATTCGTATCCGGGTCTTGAAAAAAGCTGGCGGATTCGTGCTCCTGCTTCGAGAAGGAGGGTCTTTTCGCGTCAAGTTCCTCGCGGTACCTCGACATTCGCGATTCGTCTACGAGCTCCAGAGGAGAGCCGTTTTCTGCGAAACGTGTACCTTCCGACGACTCGATCACTTCGCCTCTCACTTCGGATCCGGGCGATCGCGTCTCATCCGATCTCGGCGAGCAACTCGGATCGCGGATCTTTTGTCGGACACCGTACGACTGAGGTTGCTGCTGCTGTCGTTGCTGTTGATGCTCTTGTTGCCGCTGCCGTAAATACGAGTCTTCGAAAATCCCTTGCGCGTTGTAATGCATACCTGTGCTCGTGGTCACGCGGAACGCGTTAGATCGATTAGTTCGAGTTAGCGCATAGTTGCTTCCAGCCCCTTTTTCGCGCGTCTACGTATTACTTTGTATCGAGCCCGCGATTGTGCCACTTGGAGTTTCGACCGCGTTCCTTCACTGACTGTGTTTCGACTCAGTCCATCTGCGGGCAGATATTTTTCGAGTACCAATGAGATATCCGATCGGTAATCGATCGATAATAGTGGATCGATGGCCGATCGACATCCGATCGGCGGCACGGGAACCGATCGATCGATCGACCGCACAACCGACCGCCCGACCGGCCAGTTAAACGACGTTTACCCTTTGAAACGGAATCGTTGCTACTCGACGTGACTGCGCCTCACGTGATCGCGTTTCTTTCTTTTTTTTTATCTCTTTCTCTTCGACCGCCCCGCAGGAACGTATGCCACCGACCGACGACGTTTTGTCCGCGACGTTTTCCAATGACGAACGATCAAACACCGGTTTTGATTTCACGGCAATACGAGCGATTAGCTCGGCGCCGCACCACAAAGTGACGTCGCGAGGGACCGCGTGTCCGTAACGGGAAAACCGCTCCCCTCTGCTGCTGCATTTCCGCGGTCACTCGATTCTGCCACGCCTATCGCGGGAAACCTCGCGATTCCGCCACGCCTACAGCATCCCCTTTGTTCCCTTCCTCGTTCCCGATCCCCTAACCCACGTATCAACGGATCCTAGCTTCGAGTCCCGAGTCCCGATTCCCGATTCTCGATTCCCGAGCGCTCAGCATCGTAGCCGCTGCAACCTCCAAGCCCCGCGCGCCTCGCGCCACGTTCCCCGGACCGGCGGATTCCCAGTATGAAACTAGGATCTAGTTGCACCCCGTGCGCGTACGCGAGAGAGGAACCGAGACAGAGAACGGGAGTGGGACAGGAGTTATCAAGAATAAGAAAGAGCAGAGGAAGAAAGAAGCGGAGACGGTGACCAGAGGCTTGTGGGAGAGAAGGAGGGAAACGAGACTGCGAGAATTTTCTACTATAAAACGAGATTTTCGTCCGATTCTACAACGACGAGTATGGAACGAGCCCACGCTAAGGCCAGCGGATGTGCAGCTTGCACTGCGTGTCGGTGCCAGTGGTAAAAGAAAGGTGTGAGGATGCTACGGAATCCACGTAATTTCCGTTGCAACGGTTTGAGTAACGAGAGAATTGAAGGGGATGACACTGAAGAATATTGACACTTGCAACCAGACTGCTGATATTATACATACATTTATATCTAAATTTTGTGTTCCGGAAATATGAAGGCTGCACATAATAAGCAGAAATATGAGTTTCATATATCGTAGATAAATGGACATCTTTTTCTTGAAAGGGAAAACAAGTATAAAATATTCCATTTTTCGAATTAAAACGAGAAATATTTTATTCTTTATTAAAAATTCACTGATAATACTTGATGATTATTCTTAACGTCCTTTATTACACATAATGAGAAGAACAGTCAATCAGTGGCTAATTTCGATACCTTATTATTCGTTACGATACCATTTTACGTTCTGGCTAGAGTAAATCCGTGACTTCTTCCCTGGTAAATACCTATTGGTAATATCAGTCGTTTTATCGAGCAACTAATAGCCGCGTAATAGGTATCACACCCAGTTTTTGAGTAATCGGTCTGTTATCGGTTGTCGCGCGATATTTTATGTGGGTCCTACGACGCATTTGCTTATCCTACTGATAAAAACGCTATTCATTTTTAACGCGGGCCTAGTCGAACGGATTTGTATAATTCTCTTAAATATTGTTTTCTTACCGAAACATTAGTTATAGCTCCAGAAACGAATGGGAATTCAAAAGACAAACTGAATAGATCCATACTTGCCACAAAATATATTTTTTAATGAGTTTACAATAACGATCGTCTTTACTTCATTATTCATACTTGCAAATGACGAAGAAACTATGCTATTTTGCAAAGATCGAAGTACATTAAAAGAATGATTGATTAATATAAGTTTCTTACTTGTTATGGCTCTCTGCATACTCTTGACAATCCCTCTGTGTGTCCCTCCGGTGGTTTAAATCGCAGCGAAACCGGTACGAGCCGAAAGTAAACGGCACAAGTTAACCGGTGACCGCTTTTTAACCAAATAACACGGAGGGACGAATATTTATTTAAGGATCGAAGCACGTCCTACGTATACCTGTACCCACAGAATAAAAATTTTAAAGACTCCTGCCAATACATCGGTGGAATACGTTTACCTCATTATTTATGTGTACTAAAATAGATTGATCACCTGCGCTTATATTTTGTTTCTAATTCGATGCGCATTATCATGTCCCAGTGAAACCTTCCGAGTCATCGAATCGCGCGCATTACTCGCATCATTTCACTCTTATACAGGGTGTTCCGTAAAGGGTGTAAGAGCCGAAAATGGCAGATAGGGAGGGTCTTCCTGAACAACAATTTCCTTTGGCAAAATGCAGAATGGGGCTTCGTTACCGAGTTATTAACAAAAAACACGGACCAATCAGAGCGCTCGGTCTACGCGGGCTCCGACTCGGGAGCGTTGGCCCGGATCCGATCCCGAGCCGGAGCCAACGCTCCCGAATCGGAGCCCGTGTAGACCGAGCGCTCTGATTGGTCCGTGTTTTTTGTTAATAACTCGGTAACGAAGCCCCATTCTGCATTTTGCCAAAGGAAATTGTTGTTCAGGAAGACCCTCCCTATCTGCCATTTTCGGCTCTTACACCCTTTACGGAACACCCTGTAGGTCTATGAAACATTTTAAAGTTTTCAGAACGCATTACCCTATCTGTGATACGTTAAAATGTTAGTGGAACAAATATGTACAACAATCTCTTTATATGATATAATGTCACTGATACGCGCGCACGTGCGTGAGTATGGGTCAAGTTGTATGTACACGCACGGGTACGTGTATGGCACCTTTCGACCTCGACTGTCGAGCAAACACAACGATTTTCAACCAGTGATTATGCTTCGTCACGATAAGCCAAAGTATATTTTCCCTTCTGCCCTTCTGCTTCCGGAGTTCACTAGAAAATTCAAGGTACACTCGAAACCTGTTCGACCGAAGAACAATTTTCTACGTGCGGTTCAATCCGATGTTATTAAATACATCGAGAATCCACTTGGTAAATCTATCGTTACGTAAAATATTTCGTTTGGATTGAATACAAAGTTCAGTCCACTAAACTTAAACCGTTGATAATTTCTAATTGGTTGTAACTTTTGTGTGATCTTGCGATAAAAATTTGGGACAAATGCCGTTCTGATCCCAATTTGGAAAGTAATTAACGGTTTGATGATTAATTCATCCGTTTCTTATCTGAGATGAATAAGATTGCCCGATCAATACCGCGATTAGGTATCGTCGATAATAGATAAATCTTAATTGGTGTCATGTATCGATTTGGCAGTGCTTTATGTATATGTAAATGCTGGTAATCGTATTTTATCCATTTTTACTTACGAATCGATTCAATTTCGACGGTTCAAAGTATTGGTGACCGTAAATGTGAAACCCTGAAATGTTCGATAATCACGCGATAATGTATCCGTGATATAATAAGAGTTTAGAGGGATTTACTTACAAAATACATTTTACAGATGTACATACACATATGTACATAGACACGTGTCCACTAGCCGTGGAGTTACAAAATTTTAGTCACACGTGGTTTAATCCTTCTAATCGAGAATCATGAAACTTGGTATCTGATGAGCAGCACTTGATTAGGAATTATTCTACTTTCCTAACAAGTACCTAAGTACCATCGTCTTTTTACGTTTCTTGGTCGCTGTTCCTTTTTATTCCGTTTTACTCCGACTCTTTCACTTTTCGTCCCTCACGGTTCGAGGTCTATTTCCTAATTAGAATCTTCCAGCCCCCATGTGGCCGCATCGTCGAGTTCGGCCCTCACCGCCCATTACTTTTAATGGCGTTGTTAATGAAACTAGGTGTCGCCAAATTAACCTCTCGTTTCAGTAATCCTCAACCAGAATTAAAAACTGTAGTACTTCAACTCTCGGAAACAATCGTGTTTCAAGTACATTAATTATAATAGAATCGTAAACGCGCTCGTATAATTCTCTAAATAACAGCAGCATTTGAATGTACTAATTAAATGAAATTTGCAATTGATTTTGCAGTTACCATTCCACGATCATTCGATTGAACCTTAAGTACTTTAATACGGATCGGAATTCGCTCGAAATAGTAGTAATGAAAGATTGATTTGAAGTAAAAAATTTTGAAAAATGATGACAGAAATGGTAGGAATGGAAATTATTGGAAGGACTCTGAATATAACGTGAAACGAGTACGCTACGTTTGAAAACCACTGGCACCGGCTGATTACCGCGGTAACCACCCCCCGAGCGCCAATTAATCTTAACTTTTACGGGGCAAACACTTTTCATTAAGCTCGGTCCTGCCTCCAACCGGAGTCGAGTTATCCCCACCCTGGTTTAACCTTAGCCACCCTTGCCTACTTGCCTTTTTTTTCCTACCCCTACTCTTCTGGAGCACGGCCGGCTCTCTTCGCACTCGTCCTCCACCGAGCACGGCGAGGAACGGCAAGGAAAATGGTTCCCCAGACAAGCGTTTAATCTGGCTCTAATTAGCAACTTACCCTCCGCCCACGTCTCAACGTTCAACCTAGTCCCTCTCCGTTCCCCGCAGCTTTCCCTCTTCCTCCGTTTCAACCCTTCCACCTTCTCGTTCACTTCTCTCTCTCGGTCTCGTCTATTTCTCTTTTAGTCTAACAGCCGCTGCTAAGCTTTTAGCGAGACTCACAATCAGAGTGGGGTCCGTTTCCTACAGTAACTAGATGTTCACCACCTACCAAGCCATCTTACCATTTAACTGTTCCTATTTAATACCATCCTGTCATCGAGTAACACCTACTTACAATTAACTGCGTCAAGATATGATAGACATGTTTATACAATCACTGTTTCCACGGGAATAAGTATTGCACCTACCATCTTACCATTTAACTGTTCGTATTTAATACCACCCTGTCATCGAGTCACATCTACTTACTTACAATTAGCTGCGTCAAGATATGATAGACATATTCAGGCAATTATTTTTACTATAAAACGAGAATAAATATTCCAAAGTAGTGACTGTGCAGTTGCAAGATTTACTGTCAGAAATATTTAACGTTTTTAACAATTTTAACTGATTAAACTAAATACTATTGATGATTAATTTATTTCTACATCGGTGTAATTCCTGTTCTTATTACGTGCTGGTACTGATTTTTATCACTTAAAAATTACTCGTTTGGACTTGCGTCATTGCTGTTGTCGAACATATCTAACTGGATTTAATTAATGACACATAGCTCGCGATTGTTTACTGCGATTTAAGTGTGATTAATTCGTGGTTTATTGTTCCCCTTCATACCGACGAAACTTAATCTAATTCTCCGTCAATACAGGCGAGTCTGCGCTTGAACACAGATGTGCAGTACGAGTAGAGCTATCACTTTCTATCACTAGCACCGAGGAGGTACTTCCTGGACTTGGAGGTAAATGCGAACAAGGCTCAGGCAGTAGAGAATACCCACTGTGCCTCCTTTCCATCTAAATTCGCACTCTACTATACGAAGCGAATGTTGAACAAGTTAATACTTCATACGATTGCGTAATAAAACTCTAACTACTATTAGTCGGGTGCAATCGGCCGATTAAATAATCCGCGAGAGCAATTGCCGATTTTACATCTACTCCTTACATGTAGTTTGCAGTTGATCGATTTTTACGCAGAATCATTCGGATAATTTAAGAGGAGGTAATCACTCAATTCCTATTTCCTTTTCTACAGGATTTATCGATCAACGCGCAGGTTCATTCGGGTGACCTAGAACGATCCCCGACCCGACCTCAACTCCCTACCCCCATGATTAATCAACGATCATGCGCATAAGACAAGAGTCCCAAGATCTGTTCCTATTCATTATTATTTATTCTTATCCGACTCGACAACAGAAGTTTCAATCAAATCGATGGGTATTACAAATGTTGCGGAATCATACTTCTCTATGTATTTAACTCGTTCACTGTCCAGGAGTAATCATTTTAATCAAAATATATTAATTCAATCACCTTTCTCAATGTTTACAACTCGCGTAAGTGAAACGTAGAGTCCTCAATATCGAAAATCACTTGCGTGCGATATGTACATACACGATTTACAAAATCATTTTCTAAAAAAGTTAATCGTGGCTAACTTTGGTAGCATTGCGTGTCGCTCGCTCATCATGTGTTGCTTCATCACTTATTTTAAAACTGCTTTCTTCATGCTCATCATGAAATTTAGCTCATCACCTTGTCGATCCACGGTACGAACTTTTGAATGTTAGTATACACTCCGGGTAGATGTTCCCGACCGCATCCTATGCCCCAGGATACGAGACCGATTAGTACGTGTCTTCCTTCGACGGACATAGTTAAAGGACCACCTGAGTCGCCCTAGTTACAAACGAAATATCTATTAATTACTTTCGATTAATCCTTACGAGCGAGAACCGTGCAAATTATAAGTAATCAATTTACCTGACAGGAGTCTCGGCCACCTTCCTTATAACCCGCGCATAAAAAGACGTCGTGAATGGTTTCCCGTCTTCCAGCAGCTCTGAACCAACGCTGGCATCTCTCATTGGGAATTACCTAACAAGAAAACATTTCCCGCATTTTCAATTTATGTAAATTATACCAAACCGATATCGACTACTTCTATAATGTTATTTCGGGGTAACAGTAGTCCCTCCCAAAAGTAATTCTAAGTGTTTGCAATATGATGCTTTTTGAGAAGTATTTCTAATATGATTTTATTTAATATTTACAGCAAAAGACTACAATACTGATTTGGCATTAAGTTAAAATCGAGA